TCTAAATGTCACTTGTTTTGCATCAATCTTGATACAGGGTACTTATTATGTTGTACTTTGGATTCCTAAAGCTTTTAGTCTACCTTACCATCATCCAAGGGTAGTTTTCACTGTAAGTAAATAAGAATTTTTGGACGGACACTATAATTTACAGTTTTTTATGTTTATGTTCAATCTGAATTTTCTTTAAAATAAAAAACATCTATATTGATTCTGACTTTTCTACATCCAACTCACAGGTTTATCATTACTTTGAGAAAAAAGATTATTAATTTAACCCTTTTAGAAGGGAAGATATGGTCATTTGTTCTGGGAATGTCTTTTTCGAGCCTGAGACCTGAAAAACAGGCTCAGGGCTTAACAGGTTAACACTGAATGTGGTATAGGAACAATTTCTGTGAAAGGAGGGAGTAAGAAATGTTCTGATACCAAGCTAATTGCTACTATTTTGAAGAGTGATATTGAATGTTAAAACTAGAAGTTATGCACAAGGAAAAACTTTTATGTTTGAAGACGAACCAAAGTATTATTTTTTGTATTTTTGTATTCTTGATGATGGTTATTGAGCCATTCCATTTTTGATTGTATGTTTTTGATAGGAGTTATGTACTATGCAAAGTTCAGTTGAAGAACTCATTGATTTCAGTATTATTTACATACCTTAAAAGGTATGTAAGGAGGGATTGTTAGAAATTAAAATCAATATTGAATGACGTAATTTAGTTTAAACAAATAGTAAGTTCAAAACTGTTTTATTCTGAAAACAGTTCCGGTTCAAGTTTACTTTGAAAAGCTGTATTGAGAGACGACAACAATGACCACTTCCGGTTTCACGTAAACATCGATTACAGCCGTTAAAATGCATTAAATAAAAAGTCATGAAAGAGTGTGTGAGGAGAAAAGGCGTGTGGAAGTCATACAATGACCAGACAATGTCTAAATCCTCTGTTATGTGCGATATCGGACATTGGAGAAAGAGATGGGAGAACGACGTCACCAGCCGCCATTGAAGGAGGAGCGCTGGATGGTCAGATCACGTTGTCCCGAAAATGGCGCCGTACCGGGGAAGCTAGGCTAATACACACACACTATAGAGTGGCGAAGTCACGCCCACTTACTTCCGGGTAATGGGACCTTATTTCGGAAAAATTATGCATTGAAGTCAATGGGGAGAGAAAACTTATCTTTCGATCCCGTTTGAATTGTGCCATGAATTACACATATGATGTTTGTCAATCTTAAAAAATCATTTCCATGTCAAAAAAGTCACAGTTTGTCGTAAAACTGTTGAAATATAAGACTATGAAAAATACGTAACGAGAAAGACTACAAATCCCAGAGTCGCGTAAGTGATGTCACAATTGTTTTCCTCCACTAAGAGATAGCTAAGATCAGCGCCATATAGATAGAATCTATCTATATGGCGCTGGCTAAGATAAGATAACTTTAACAAGATGCCTGTGTGCTTAGTACCAGGTTGTTATCATACCAGCAATGGGTCTTGCTCGTTCTTTCGCTTCCCGTCTGATGAAAGGACCAGGAGTGGCTTGATCAAGTTAGCTACCTAGCTAGTAGCTAGCACGTTAGTTAGCATTACAGCCTTGTCATTTGTATTAGCCTTAACATGAAGTAACATTAAGTAACCCAAAATGTTAAACAGTAAGAGTAGTAGTCATATTTCGTGAACCCTTTGAATAGTACTGTCACCGGTGTGATCATTCTATAATACACCATTTAAGCCCGGGGGAGAAATGCTAACGCTAACGTTAGCATCGGCGATCTTCTCTACTTCATGCTATCTGCACAAATGGTTGACATTAAACATTAAAACGACCAGGCAGTTCAGAGAGAATCAAAGGAAGGCAGGCAGGCAGCTTTGCATGACATTCTTCAGGACGTGTTTCATTGTGGTGATAGTGAGGGTAGTCAATCGTTTTGTTGACAAGACAGTAGTGACGGCCATCTTGGTGACGTGTGTTGTTGACCAGAGATGTAGTTCATTGAGCGGTTCACACAAACAAATGTGTTACTTCACAGTTTTACGACACATATTTTTTTTTTGACTTGCAAAATTATCTTTTAAATTGACAAACATCATATGTGTAATTCGTGGCACAATTCAAACGGGATCGAAAGATAATCTTTCTCTCTCCATTGACTTCAATGCATAACTTTTCCGAAATAAGGTCCCATGGGGCTCAACCGGAAGGGGAGGGACTTCGCCACTCTATTTAACGGTTTTACAATGGAAACAGCGCTACAAAGTCTTTAACTGTTAGCGGGCCGTTACATATTATCTTCGCAAACCTTATGGGGGATTCATTGTGATTTATGCACAGTTTACCAACCTGTATGGTGCAGGTGAAACAGAAGTAATGAGGACACGTTGTGTTCAGTTTCCTTCCAGATTACTCCTGAGGAAACCCCGGGAACGTCCGTAGATTTAATCGGTCCCCCGGAACCATTGAATCGAACACAAACGTTCCGCCTCACTACTACTGCATCTATCGACCCCGTTAGTGAAATGAAAATAACAGATGTACAAAATAAATGCATGTTCTAACTCTAAATAATAATAATAATTATATTAATGTGGTCACACATCCCAGGGGTGCCACAAATGCAGGACTTTTACACTGTAATATCACTATTTTCTACCTAATTAAAATATCTTAGTCGGATAAATCATCCAACACTATGGCATGTACAAGGCATGTATTTCACAATAAATACCGTGTTAAAAAAATAAGGTAATATCCTCTATATATAACCCAGAAGGATTAAGTGCTCTGACAAACAGTGCCATCTTTGTGCAAAATGAATATTGCCATACAGGAATGAAAAGTCAATAAATAAACATGTTGTTAAAACTCACAGGTTTTTGTTGTTTGTCACATGTTGTTGCACGTCACAAAGCGTGCACCGCCCGCGCAGAATGTAATGCTTACAGGTCTTTGGTTTGGTTCCCATGAGTCTGTCGTGTCTATTTTTCTCAGACCCTTTGTTGATCAGGCAAAAACATTGGCATCCAAATGTGTCTTGGAGGGAAAATGGAACCTGTGTGAACAGCAAAGCTGTTGGACTTTGTTGCTGTGTAGACTCAAAGGCAAGACCTACAATGCAAAACACCACACAGTTCAATGGGTACTTTGGTTGCGGCTTCTGTCTACATCCTGGTACTCTAATAGAGAAACAGGTGACAGGGTAGAGCAGAAATGCATGATTTAAAAAATGGGTGAACAGACGCACATTTGTTACTTTCCAAACGCACATGAGAGGGAGTAGTATTGCTCATTGGTTGTCATACTGTAGCTTGTATTTAGCTGTAATATTCCTGAAAGCACCAGCTAAAACTATGATCAGCTGCACTGTTTGGTTTCCCTTCGAGGAAAACAAATGCTGCTGTCAAAACATTTTGTAAATATATTGCAACATACAGAGCCTCTAAGGCAGGGGTGTCAAACTCAATTTCATCACGGGCCACATCAGCATTATGGTTGCACTCAAAGGGCCGGTTGTGACTTTAAGACTATATAAAATACATATATAAATATTTAATATATATAAAATAATGTATTATATTACATTATTGCCTCTGCATTGGATTATTATCGGATAGGGTAATAACTTCATAATTAACTACGTCTGAAAGCAGAAGTCTAGGGCAAATAATTGCAAGTCTCTTCAGTGAGAATGTCACAAAATGATTTAAAAAGAAAAGCCAAATTCTGGAAAAACAAAAAAAATAAGTGACATTCTGAGAAAAAAATGCATATTTTGAGGAAAAAGTCAAATTTGAGATGCATTGTTGGAAAAGTAGTTTATGGGCAACGTGCTTCTGTAAAGTAGCATGTAACCGTATAATAAACATATTATATTCTTTGCAAGCTCTTGTGGGGCCACATAAAATGAAGTCGCGGGCCGGATTTGGCCCCCGGGCCTTGAGTTTGACACCCCTGCCCTAAGGGGATATAGAAAAAAAACGTTCTTGTACGCATTAGAAACTTACCAGTGAACACAGGAGCCGATGGAGCTGCTCAGTCAGTTTGTGGCCGTTTCTCAATGTCGAGTAAACCTGCTGCAGAGCCACTATTTCAAGTAGACTACGTCATCGAGTGGCGCCGAATGACTGTTTAAAATGCATGTTAAATGCCCAGCATTCGGCGCCACTCGATGACGTAGTATACTTGAAATAGTGGCTCTGCAGCAGGTGTACTCGACATTGAGAAACGGCCATTCTGTCTGATCTTTAAGTTGTGCCTCTCTGTGAATACTCTCACTTTGAGATATTACATCAATACAATTGATGAAGCAATAACAATATTTATAAATAAGTCCAGCTTTGTAAATATGAGGATTTGTTGTTTTTCTGTTTTATATCATTGTGTATGTAATGTCTATGCCTCTGGACATTTGAATTGGTATTTTCTTACTGTTGTGTAAAAATAACAGTTAAGCTATTCATCATCGTGAAAGCAATGAACAGATGAATTGATAACATATGAATGTATAACTCAATAATTGAGGTTATAAACTATACTTAGTTAATGAGCCAGGGGGTTGGTTGTGCCAATGTAGATGGACCATGTCTCATAGTGACTTTTTAAAGGTCTATAGTTTTGAAAAATGCATTATAGCATTGCAAGAATATAAGCTTTCTATATGCTATTACTCCTTATTTCAACCCTATATCATTGCAATTCTTTCAAAACAAATTCTACATTTTTACGCATAGAGCCAGTATGAAAGCGGGCAACCTACTCCCAAAGCTTAAAGTAATATATCATTGTAAAGTTTAGACCAAAATCTATGTACCGTCACATTTTAAAGAGACTAAACACATCATTTGACCTTTTGAAATCTTGGGCTGCTGAAGTACCTATTGTTAATACCGCTGAAAATGCACTTATATAGTGTTCAAAAACTTTTCATACCTAGGTTATGGCTATTGACAAATGAACTACTACTTCTCTGAGCTGTTGAACAAATATCAGTCTTTCTTCAGCAAATGGTGCTTGTTTATTTAGTTGCACATGTGGACCTTAGGTCAAATTATAGATGATTTTATATTGGGGGTGGCATTGTTGGTACTGACTGGATATTTTGACAGACCGGTTAGTTTTAGACCTTATAAAAGAGTTGCTCTGATGTCCTTAGAGAAAAAAAGTCAGCCCCCGAAAAATGTATTGAAGTGAAATGCTAAGATCCTTAACCACCCTTATCATAACTACCAAATACCAATATTCATTCATTATCAGAATGTTAACTCTTTAAATGTTTCTTTACGTAATGCCATTGCTTGTGGGGTGTTTTTTCTTTATGGAATAGATCAATGATTCTCAAAAACAGGATGCATTTGTAAAGACACCAGAAAAACTGCATTTATTAGAGCAAACATGAACAATTGCTATATATGGTCGAAAATAGTAAAAAGCTACATTTTGAAGTCAATGTCATAATTATTTTATGCTGCAAGATAGAGAGGAGGAGGAGGAGGAGGAGGAGGAGGAGGAGGAGGAGGAGGAGGAGGAGGAGGAGAGGAGGAGGAGCAGGAGGAGGAGGAGGAGCAGGAGGAGGAGAGGAGGAGGAGGAGGAGGAGGAACAGAGTGACTTCATAGACGCTGCTTGTTCTAAATCTTTATTGAACGTATCGATCACTACAGTCTTCAGGATCAGCTTTAATACGTTGCTTCAAGAAAACTTGATTACAGACACAATCAGTGAGACACACGGTAACCAATGAGAAGCCTCTATTTAAAACATCATGTGACCCCAGGACAGGAAGTGGACTCCTCCTACAGAGGACACAGAGGACACAGAGACACTGAGGAGTCAAGCCAGAGCCTAAACCCAGCGTAGAGAGGTTCAGTGAATGTGGCTCTGAAGGTGTGGAGGAGGATCAGTGAGGAGGAGGAGACTCTGTAGAAGGAGAGAGAGCCAGCAGCATGATCCAGATACACAGCTACTCTACGAGAGGAGGAGGAGGAGGAGGAAGAGGAGGAGAAGGAGGAGGAGGAGGAGGAGGGGGAGATGGGTGTTTTTCTCTTATTGTGCCAGACAGAGTAACCTGTATCAGAGCAGGTCAGACTCCAGGAGTGATCATTCCTTCCAAACCAACATTCCACTCCCTCTCCTCTCCTCCTGATTCCTCTGTAAGTCACTGCTATAGAAACCCCTCCTCTCCTCTCGACCTCCCAGTAACAGCGACCAGTCAGAGCTTCTCTGCACATCAGCTGAGGATAGAGCTCAAACCTCTCTGGATGATCAGGATATCGCTGCTTCTCCTTCACACGTGTCACCGTCCTGTTGTCCTCAGACAGTTTGAGGTCTCTGAATGCTGTGTTTGAGTCCAGGGTGAGTTCACAGGAATCTGAGGAGAGACACAGACAGCAGTTTATCACCAGACTCACCTGAAGGCTTTCCTCTCTGTCAGTGATCTTTCTATAAAGCTTCAAGAGGTCATGTTCTAATGAATAAATAGCACCTCCATCATCTGTGTCTCTAGAGCAGGGGTCTCCAACCTTTTTTAGGGTGAGGGCTACTTTCAAAAAATAAAACAAGTCGTGAGCTACTTTTACTCCTTTTTTTGTTGTTTTTTGCAGTGTATATATTTAGCACATTTGAACATGATGACATGCTGACCTTTAACCTTTGTGTCTGTTTGGGTCTGTGGGACCCCTTCAGTGTTTACTCAAAGAACATGGATGCTATCTCATTCTCTTAACCTGCTTTATTTGGAGGGGGGTCCTCACCTCCTCTAGGGGGGACCACCTCCTCTAGGGGGGTCCTCACCTCCTCTAGGGGGGTCCTCACCTCCTCTAGGGGTCCTCACCTCCTCTAGGGGTCCTCACCTCCTCTAGGGGGGACCTCACCTCCTCTAAGGGTCCTCACCTCCTCTAGGGGGGACCTCACCTCCTCTAGGGGCCACCTAGGGGTATCTCTCTCTCCTGCTCTTTCTCTCTCTCTCTCTCTCTCTCTCTCTCTCTCTCTCTCTCTCTCTCTCTCTCTCTCTCTCTCTCTCTCTCTCTTAATAATAAACATATTTGTAAAGTGGGGGGATACAAACGGGATTTCGAAAAGAGTGGGGGGCATATCCCCCCTGTCCCAGGTGGAAACTACGCCATGCGTGTGTGTGCGTCAAGTGCAATAAATATATATGCAAGTTGCAGCACACAGAGTAAAGCTCTGCCCCTCATGTGCTGTAGAGGCTGCATGATAGGCTGCTCAATGGGGCTGATGTGTTGTAGAGGCTGCATGATAGGCTGCTCAATGGGGCTCATGTGCTGTATAGGCTGCATGATAGGCTGCTCAATGGGGCTGATGTGCTGTAGAGGCTGCATGATAGGCTGCTCAATGGGGCTGATGTGTTGTAGAGGCTGCATGATAGGCTGCTCAATGGGGCTGATGTGCTGTAGAGGCTGCATGATAGGCTGCTCAATGGGGCTGATGTGCTGTAGAGGCTGCATGATAGGCTGCTCAATGGGGCTGATGTGTTGTGTAGATTCTGCCAGAAGGGAAATCAGCGGGGAGGTGCCTTTTCTTCCAGACTGCAACGCTGGTCCCGCAAATCAAGCAAGAACGTGATTGGTCGATATTCATTGTGGGGGTGGGGGGAGGAGGGGTGTTAGATAGATATAGAGTTGTAGTAAGTAGATAGAGTTCGCTATGATTGAGGTTTGGTTTATGCATAGGGTAGATTCTTTTAATTACATTTCCTTTTTTGTTTTGTGTATTTTATACATTTTGGATTTGCTTGGCGAGCTATTTTTAGAACATGCCCCGCGGGCGACTCACGTTGCCCCTGCGGGCGACTAAGTGCCCGCGGGCACCGTGTTGGCTACCCCTGCTCTAGAGAGAAGCTGACTGATCCACACTTACACTTCCTCAGACCTGCTCTCTGCTCTCCACCATGGTCCAGCCTGGAGGAAGAAACACATGTGAGAAACAGAACAGCGTATTGTTAGAATAAAGTATTTATCAATGTTCATCATAATAATAAATCCTATGTGTCCGAAGGGAGCAGGAGGGAGCAGATGCTTATTGATCCCCCTCACTTCCTGCTGATCAATGATTATCCTTTCAATCATCTCTGCAAGTTATTCCTACTTACATATTTACATTTATACATTTACAATCATTTCTCCTCTTCAATCTCCTTTCTTCATTCTCATACTTTCCCAAAGAAGTGTTTCTGTGCATCCTTCAAAGTGAATGCTATGTGTGCTTTGTTTGAACTCCTGCTCCAAGCCGCTCCATGAAACCCCCCCCCCCACAGATTGTTCTGCTCTTCTCAGAGTTCTTCTGACCTTGAGTTGTTTCAGATGTAGACCTCCTCTCAGATGATACCCCCCCCTCTCTGTCTATGAACAACGTCTGTAGTGTCCTAGGAAGTAGATGATCTCTTGCTCTGTACATGATGCCGTTTGAAATGTAACCAGATCAGTAAACTTCAGTGTGTGTGACTTCAAGAATAATGAATGAGTGTGTTCAAGACAACCTGGTCTCACCAGAATGCGTGACTCCACCACGACTCCTTAACACCGCATTGCGTGGTGGAGTCACGAACTTTGCTACATGTACGTGTCTGCACCACGCAAACAACCCCAATGTAAAGTGAATGAGGCTCCTTTGTCGTGGTGCACACACGCATTTCTACAACGTCCAGCAGTGAGCTTTTATTCTATAAAACGTTTTTAAAATCTACTGTATAGCTTGTAGTAACTCACGGGAGGCTTCTTTTATTTTATTTGTATTCATAATAATTTTTATTTTTCGTCAGAATGTATTATGGTGCATTATTCACCAATTTTTGTTCTCAAAAAACAGTGCATTGTGTGAAATACAACTGTGATTTTTATTAAATTAGTTCGTTTTTAAGGAAGGCCAGAGCTTCAGCTGTGTCAAAGAGATTGTTCCCTTTAGTTTACGTTATTTAAAAGATAATTATATTCCTATGTGATTAAGTACCCTTTATTGTATTACGGACCCAAAGAGCTGAGCGTCCATTCCCATTGGATAACGGAGGACTTTACACCCGGAAGTAAGTATTCTCCTTACTGTCGATTGATTTTACAGTGATATCAGCACTACTCATCAACTCAAAAACACCAGATTATCCTTGTTAATTACACAACATTGATTGGTTTAAATTGTGTGCAATGCTTTTGGATTTTCCCCTTTTTTTCAAATCCGGCCCAAAACTTCATTTTATGTGGCCCCGCAAGAGCTTGCAAAGAATATAATAAGTTTATTATACGGTTACATGCCACTTTACAGAAGCAGGTTGCCCATAAACTACATGTCCCACAATGCATCTCGTTTTGTGACATGCGCACTGAAGAGACTTGCAATTATTTGCCCTGGACTTCTGCTTTCAGACGTAGTTAATTACTAAGTTATTATCCTATCCGATAATAATCCAATTCAGGCAATAATGTAATATAATACATTCTTTTATATATATATTATATATTTATATAGTTACAACCGGCCCTTTGAGTGCAACCTTTATGCGAATGTGGCCCGCGATGAAATTTAGTTTGACACCCCTGGTTTAGGCCATCAGTGATCCATGCACTGTGACTTTGTTTGTCTCTCTCTGCATTGTTTCACAGGACACTTTTTGTCACAAAGTGATTTCAAAATGTTTAGAAATTCCTCATATGCCTTGTCCATATCGTCTCTCTCTCATATACTACCCTCCAATTGTGATTAAAGTATTCTTTAATGCATTTATGTTTTCTTCAGTTCTCAATCTTTTGTATTTGAAATGGCTGGAGACTTTAGGTTTCTTATAACTGCAGTGATAGACAATAAGAACAGGTGAATGATCACTGATGTCACTATATAGTAGTCCCTGCTGTATTGTTCTCCATAATGTTTGTGAATATGTTGTCTATTCATTTAGCAGAGAAGTGATTCTACTAGGTCTGGTGATTTTAGGATACAAACCCATACTGTACAATGCATTGATGAAGTCTTCTTAAGTCTTTAACCCTAACCCCTAAGATAAACATCATGTTTTGTAATGTTTTAGTAAACATGTTTCTATCCTATCTGTAAATGTGTCAATACAGGTTCCAGGAGCTCTGTATATACAGCTCACAATAACATGTTTAGACCTTTCCATACACATGTCTACTGTAACACATTCAAACAAATCATCAACAGCTGTTGTTATGCTCTCCACCACCTTACTAAGTGAAACAATTTATAACCCAAAAAATCACCTACTTCAAATTAACGCATATTAAAGACATGAAAAGTCTAAAAAGGATAGAAAATCCACTTTGCTTCTTCCGACTCATGCACTTGAGAGAAGAAGAAGAAGAAGAAGAAGAAGAAGAAGAAGAAGAAGAAGAAGAAGAAGAAGAAGAAGAAGAAGAAGAAATGATGTGAAGATAATCAGAGAGTCTTTATCAATTCAATCACATTTCACGGTGGTGCAGGTGGAAAAGTCCGGATCGTCCCTCTGGGAATCATAAATGTCAAACAGAATATCATCTCAACACATTTAGCAGTTGGTGAGATATCTCAGTCAGAACCAAACCCATAAACTGACCATCATTATCCTCCCTAGAGCCAGGAAACCAGTGGTTCTGATGTTTGGACTGAATGGCTGTTTCCATGTAATAAGACTTGAAGGTTAACTCACTGCTGTGAACATAATCAAGGGAAATGAGACGTCTTTCATGATGGAAGACTAGAGATGAAGGAGATGAAATTAGAAAAATAGGAGGAAGTCAGTCTGTCCATACCTGAGTGTCTCCAGACTGCAGAGTGGATCCTCCCGTCCAGCAGAAAGCAGCTTCTCTCCTGAGTCTCCTGGATGATTGTAGCTCAGGTCCAGCTCTCTCAGATGGGAGGCGATGGAGCTCAGAGCTGAAGCCAGAGAAACACAGCCTTCCTCTGACAAAATAGCAGGTTATATTCCTTATATCAAGTCACTGGATCTTGTTGCATAATTATTTGTACATTGTCCAGTATAAGTTCCACCCCACAGAGAACCATCTGTTTTCCCACAGAGAACCATGGCCCTAAACCTGACTGACCCTTATTCCTGCTGCTGGGAGATGAGGCACGATACCAGCAGATCCCAACACCCACTGAGGGTGTGGACACAGCTCTCTTTCTAGTTATACAGGAAGTGGATGGCTCTTACTGTGTCACAGTATACTCCTGCAGTAGCCTACCATCTACAAGACACCCTGGGGGGTCACAGTAATAACCCGTCCCTTCCTCCCCAAGTCATGTTGGACGGCAAATGATACCTCCTTCCACCTGTAGGGGGCTGGGCCATTAGCAATGACTAGGACAGAATCTGCAGTGAGCAATCCCAGTGAGGCTGAGCAATGTGCTCCTCTGATGTTTAGAGCTTACCCTACAGTCCCCTTTAAAACATGGACAATGACACTGTCTGCCTCCATGCAACATTGAACAGGAATTTAAATCACAACTGTCCAATCCTATGTCAGGACAAACCTCCACAGTTGCGGCTTTCACACCAGCGCTTTTCCCTTTCTAGCTCCTAGCGAGAGCTTTTCTGGTTCAGCTCCGGTTTCCCTTTTCAGCTCCCGCTCTGTTCACACCGCCCAGAGCTGCCGCTGCTGCGTCATGACGTCACAGTTTACGTCGCTGATTTTCTCCCACAACAACAACGGGGGGGGACTGCGTCGGGTCGATGATCGTGTTGCTTTTAATCATAAGAAGCCAGATTAAACTAAATAACGACTTCTCCAACCTTATACTTTTCTCCAGAGTGCCGTGGTTCATTGTTTATTAATGTGTTTCAGCAGCATTTACCGACCGCTGCGGTGCTGGCTGCTCTTCCACGGGAGTGTATTCTCCCGTTAGCTCCGGGTTAGCTCACACGGCTCTAAAGTATTCACTGTCTGTCACACAAGCAGCTGATACATATCCCCAGTTCCCCTTAAGTGAATGTGTGTCAGTCTGAATTGACGCTGTTTGGCATCACAACGCTGTTATGAAAGTTTCTCTGGTATAACATGGGTGATGTTAGCATAGCAACCGAAGCTAAACTGACTACTTGCTAAGCCGTTTTCTAGAGGCACATTTTATCGGCGTATTTTTCATTATGATTCTACTTGTGATAGTCGGACATGACAACCTGTACAGCCCATGTATTGATTCCATCCGATAGCTGCTATAATAACAAACCAAACGTCTGCCTGCTCTCCACAATGATCAATAACAGCGAACGGATGGTCAAAGTAAGGTTTCCTGCACGCCTCGACGTAAGAGACGCCGCGTCATAGCTCCGAAGCTCTTGCCTCTGGACCGACAATTTTTTGGAGCTGGAAGTGAACCGCATTCCGGAGCTATGACGCGCCGCCGCTGCGGTGTGAACAGGAAAAGCGCCGGTGTGAAAGGGGCAAGTGTGTCCCTGTGGCCCCTTCTGACCACCTGAGCAACAACAGCTGTTCTCCAAGCCCTCAGCTCTGCCTCCTGAACTCAGTGTGCATCAGTCCCATCCAACATCCTGACACTGAGTCAGCAGTTTCACAAAGGTTAAGGAATTGTGGTTAGGAAGAGACAAAAGGCGATATATTTTGGAAGGTAATTGGATTCCTAAAATGCTGATCTATAAAGGTTCTACTACCCCTCACCTGGAACCAACAGGGTGACCCTGCCAGAAACTAGTGACCCTGACCTCTCTGCTTTCAGGGGTACCTCAGCCCCAACACCATGTGGAGGTGATGGTTCTCTGAGGGGGATATCAGGAGTCTAAAAACATGATGCATGGCTGTGAAAAATTAAAAAAATTATATTTATATATAGCTATATTTTGGTACACTCTTTTTTAAAGACCTACCTTTAGGGTCTGATGAGGATTCTGATGAGGATTCTGATAATTCCTCTAATAGATCATTCCTCGGGATCTTCTTCAAAACTTCTCTGGTCACTTTAATGTCGCGTCTGCCGTAGTGCGTACGCATCAGATCCACTGTTTCCATCCGGTCTGCTTTCTCTAGGTCACTCTTTGGGATTCCTGGGAATTCTAGGACCTCCTTCTCCAGATGCCACTTGAATTCTTTAAATTCCTCTTCCTTCAAAGCTTTTAAAGTTTTTAATAGGACTGTATGTGTCTCCATCTTTTCTACCTGCAGAGCAAAGATACCAAGAAAGAAAATATTTATCTTACAGAACTATATGTTCTTATTTTGTACTTTTGAAAACCATAACAGGCCTTCGGGATCCAAAGAACAGCTGCCATGTGACTTTGAATGGTGTTACGACCCTGGGTCGTTATGTCATTTGTGTGCAGATATTTCTTCTTCCTCCTGTGTCTGTGTGGCTGCGTGTGAGTAAGCAGGTGGTGCCCGGTTGCTGATTGGCTGCCCTAGACAGGCTGATTGGTCCACCTGAGGAGACGGGAGCATTTAAGCTGTTCCTTGGCCCTTTCTGACTCGACTTCTCCTACTCCCAACACTGTTGCGTATATATATATATATATGTTCTGTTGTGCTGTGGGTGTACTTATACCGTACACCAGTCATTTTGCTTGTTTTGAAACCTCAGAAGTAGAAACTACTTTAACCTGTCCTTGTGGACACACTTGAATTTGCCCAGGAGTGTGAAACCCTTTTCTTTTGGTTTATTCTCGTTTTCTCCTGTTTTTACGTCAGAGTAGGTAAGAAGCCTGTACGTTTATTTTTCTTATTTGTTAGGCAAGATTTGTTCAAAGATTTGTTTGTTTTGTAATTAAAATTACCAAACGGCTTTCTCTGTCTCGGTGTCCATGTTCTTGGGAATGGGAAGAGTGGGGAGAGTGCACATTTTGTGCTGCGCCTAGGTTCCCCTAGACCTGGGCGTAACAATGGCTTCAATTCAGATGTCGACATTCAGGAAGTCAATCCTAAACTTGAAGACAGCACAGTGAGTTCTGTCTTTTCCTTTAATGTCTTGGTTTGGTAACCTGACTTTAAAGAGCAGAAACTGTCTCAGTCAGATCATAAAGTGGTCTTGCAGACTGAGTCACAGCTAAAGCTGGAGCCCCTGCTCATCAGACAGTTACAGAGGCTGTCTAACTCCATGTTCAATGAAGACTCCCACCCCCTGCAACCTGAGCTTCAGCTTCTTCCTTCGGGCCGGAGGTTAATCTTCCTAAAGGTGTAGAACCAAGAGGTTTAAAAACAGCTTTGTGGATGTTCTGGAGCCAGAGGGACTTTTTAAAGATGTGTCTGTTGTCTATATTGTATGAAGCATGTTCATATTTGTGGAGCCCAATAGAAGATTTATGACCCTGATTTTGGTACATCTCATATTTGGATTAACATTCATAACATGCATTTGCTTACGGTTTAAATCCAATCCAATCCTTCTTCATTTATATAGCAGATTTAAAAACAACAGAGTTGACCAAAATGCTGTAGATCAATATATAAAAAGCAGCAGAAATACATTTAGACAAAACCGATAGGACAAAAAACAAATGTAAAAGCACAAGACAATAAAACCATACTTATAGCCACAGAAACGATGTAAAAACAATATAAAACACAAGAAAATGATGAAATAAAAGTTATATTGTGTTTTATATTTCTCGTTTATAAATCCGCTTCATATCTCCATTTTACAGGAAGTAGGAAAAAAAGAAGAGGAAGAGGAGGAAGAAGAAGAGTCAGACGAAGGCAAGATGAAGGTGGAGGCGTCCCTCAGGGCACAGTTTCAAGACAACTCAATTCCAGAGGCGACAAAAAGGCAGTGTGAAAGTTGAGAGGCATTCACACACACACACACACACACACACACACACACACACACACACACACTCACTGTGTACGCCACAATGGATACCTTTTCTTACTTCTGCAAACCAAGTTTACCTACCGGTACAAATAAGTACCATGAGAGAAATAAGAGAGTGACTCAGCCGGCGACCACACACCTGGTTCTGGTCTCTGGCAGTAAGCTGGTTACTGGACACAGAGCTGGGTCCAGGTCCAGGTCCAGGTCCAGGTCCAGGTCCAGGTCCAGGTCCAGTTCCAGGTCCAGGTCCAGGTCCAGGTCCAGGTCCAGGTCCAGCAGAGTGTGGTGTTTGCTATGGGCTTGAAGAGACACATAACGTTTGAGTGAATAATGAGTGCTGAGCTGTGACATGGAGAAGAGTGATGGACAGGTGGAGATGTCATGTTCCCCAGAGCTTTTAGAGGGGGGGGGGCTTCCTCCTCTCTGTCCTCACACTGATCCATAGCAGAGCCCCCACCTTCACACAAACACAACAACATGCTCATTCATTACCACAAGCTTCACATCACAGGTAGCCCCTCCTCTCAGATATTCAGGAACCTTGTTGGAGCCTCAACAGGACCGGATCAGCCCAGAATGTTCCCCACAGCCCCAGAACCACACAGAAACCCAGTGTGTTGACCCCTAAATATGTGTTAGTGTGTCACAGTGTATCACAGCACACACAAACAGTCACTTCAATGTACATCCACAGGTAATGTACAGCCCAGCCCCCCACAAGATATCCCACACAACTGAACTGCGCTCAGTAACCATTCAACAAAACTTCTTTGTTAGGTTTAGAAAAAACATAATTTTTTGGCTTAAAATATGTACATTAATTACATGAAAGCAGTTACGGACTTTAATTAAAACGAGGTCTTTTGTGAACTGATAAGAAATGTGTTTTTGATATATCAATGAAAATAGGAAAAACAAGTTCCCTGATAACTAAGTTACAATGAGGTTCAAATCTAGGGGAAGAATATTTTTGAAGTTTGATATAATCTCCCATTTATTTTTCATGCTAATGTTTTGTATAGCCCAACATATATATCAAAACATGTACTGTTATATATGTTTTTCGAATTCGGGCAATCCAGATGTATCATCTAAAACTTAAAAAAAACATTTGACATTTTCAAGGCTATTCAGTGAAACCAGGTCAGTGTTGAAAGACGGGCCCTTCACACTCCTTCCCTTATTCAGAGTATTAGTTAGACATAAAATCAGTCACAACTTGTTAGAGCGGGTTCTGACACGCCCTGCATTTCTCTCTGATGACGAGAACTCAGAGAACAATCAGACTGCAACTCATTCTACCCGAAACACTGACAACAGTACATGGAGATCTTTCTAAACTCATTCTGCTTTCACTCAGGGAGAAAGCCTACACAATATTTCAGACAGATGTTTAGAATCAGCATCAAGAAACATGTGTCCTGTCCAGGTAAACAGTGACTCTGTCCAGGTAAACAGTGACTCAGCACCATGTGATCACAGTGATCCTGATGGTGGAACAGATTCCTATCGGAGGATTCTTACCTGCTGAACTCTCTTCAGGTCTCCCTCATTTCCCTTATTCAGAGTATTAAAGCTCCCATGTCATGCTTTTCCGGTTATTACCCGTCCCCTTGTGTGTTATGAAGGTTTTTATGCATGTAAACGGTGTGCAGAGTCAAAACTCTGAAAGTACACCCTGTAGCGAGTAAAACTCTAACACAGAAAATACCTCCCCAAAACGCCTCGTTGGAGATACGTCACTGCCCATTTGAGTCTTCCATTTAGTTCCGGGTACGGCCTGATGTCATGCCGTACCCGGAACGAAATGGACCAATCCCGAAGAGCTATGGCCACACCCAGCGGCGCTGGCCGCACCCTCTGCCAGCCTAACATTTACTGTTGGAAGCTCTGGTTCAGTTCACAATTGATCCAGTCATGCCACTGCCAAGGACCTGTTTCCTGAAATGTGAGGAGAAATCTGAGCTGTTTGTCCTACCGACGGAAGAACCACAACGAAGTCAGTGGTTGACATTTCTTTTTAACACTGTTCCTTCAGAGGTTCGAAGAACTGGCATTTCACAGACGAAAGCTTCCAAAACATTGCCCAGTTTGAGGCCGGATATGCACAGCATTTGAAACTGAAGGACGATGCTATTCCTAGTTTGTTTGGACCGTTTGGAGCAGGGGAAGATTCGGGTACACAACCTGTAAGTTTGCATTGTTATTTGTGTATTTATCAAACAAGACTGTTTAAATGTGTAAACTGTGTTGGACTGCTAAGCCATTGACACAGTGCTAACTGTGCTAACTAAGTTGCTAGCGTTTCCATATATCAACTCTAATATCAGCAGATCGCCTTACATACATGTATCTCATAGCAGGAGAATGTCTGCATTCACACACGAAATACTCATAGACAGTATACTCCGGGTGATTTGCCGTACGGTCAGTCGCAAAACGTAATTACATTATAGCTGGCGTAGCGTGTATGCTACCGAGCTAACCAACGGAGCTAGACATGGGTTTGCTCGGGAAAACACGTTCTTGCTCGACTAATATGAATCACTAGCTTTTGTTCATAGTGGTTTTATTACACTAAACAAGCCCAGCTCATACAGTATACTCCGGGTGATTTACCGTACATTGTGACAGTACATGTACATACTGCATGTATAGCTAACGAGGCTAGCTATACATGCTAGCGCAAAAACAATGTATTCATGACCGTTACAATGAATGACCGAACGTAGCAGACTACCCGTCTAAGATTGCAATTATAAACACGTTATTGCTAGCCTAATATGAACCACTAGCTTTTGTTCATAGTAGTTTTATTACTCTACATTATAGTTGCCGTTCCTCCGAGCTAGCGTTCATATCGTGTTAGCTACCAAAGTAAACAAAGCTAGGTTAGCATATTAGCTGGCAAGCTGTTCATTAGATGGATTAGATAGATCCACAGTCCTACCACAACTACTACTAACGAATCTAAAACAACTAAGTTTCTCTAATATTTTGTGCTTTGCATTTGATTTCGTCCAGCCAGATCCTGGCGGACAATACATGATGGGACTACCACACTGATGCATCGTGCTAAAAAGCCCCGGCTGCTATAAGCAAGATGCCGACAATGGGGAGTAATTGATGATATACCGTGTATATATGTATATTTACGTTCATTTTGTACATTTCTAAAAATAAAGTTTAATCAAAATACTTAGTAGGCCTATCCTTTCTTCCCTGAATTATTTGCTCCTATAATATATCATTCATATATAGCAAACCATGATTTGATTTCTCATCAAACAGTAGTAGTTTATAAAAATAACTTACTCTTTGTTATGACCGGCTCGTAGGCCACAACGAAAGACAAGGAGACATACACGAGTTTACAAAACCACGGCACATTTATTGTGATAAATGCAGAGATAGGTGGTCGAGGGGAGAGGATTGCTGAGCCGCTTTGGAGAGAGAGAGGGGCCGCCGTGTGACTCCGGGCAGCTGGGCTTAATAGCACCTCGGCTCCGGCCAGGTGTCCGTGATCGCGCTGATTAGCCTCTTCCGCTCCACCCCATTGTAAGACAAAGGCCCTGGGGCCGTCACACTCTTCTATAACAACAGTTGTAGGTACAGTTCGGTTAGTTAGCATATAAAATATACGGCTCTACCGACGCCATTATAAGACTGATGTTCCGCTGAGAGCGAGCCGGAAAAAGCACTGTTAAACATGGGCGGAGCCTCTCTGGTGGTTGACTAATCAGAACAGAGTAGCCGAGCTGACCAATCGGACACTAGGCTCACAGGGAGTGGGGGGCAAGAGCTCCAACGATTCGTTTAGTGGAGAGAGTGAATACTGCTGAATACACATACTTTACAGAGATGCTGTATGCGAAACCAATGTGAGTTTGGAAAATTGCACAGTATAAATCTATTTTAGTATACCTCAACAATGTAATTATGATCAGTGGAAATGGCCATGACATGGGCCCTTTAAGAGTTAGACATAAAAACAGTCACAAGTTGTTAGAGCGGTTCTGACACGCCCTGCATTTCTCTCTGATGACGAGAACTCAGAGAACAATCAGACTGAAACTCATTCTACCTGAAACACTGACAACAGTACATGGAGATCTTTCTAAACTCATTCTGCTTTCACTCAGAGAGAAACCCTACACAATATTTCAGACAGATGTTCAAACAGACCCTGGATATGTTTGAGTTATCTTAACTGACCCTAACAAACGACATCTCGCTAAGTGGTCCTACGACGCTGGTTATCAACTCAGTAAATCAACCAGGGTTTCACAAACAAGCGTACTGACAGCGCAGCGTCATACTTCATGATTGAATAGTAAACTATCATGTTAGACAAATATGAAGACGTTCAACTTTTAACATCCATGACTTAAACACTTTATCCAGGATAAAAGCCACACAGTTGCACGTGCAAGGTCAATACAGAACAGCTGGTTAAAAAAAAACTACCAAGTGTTTGAATGCGTTCATTAACAGTTTTATGATATCACTGCATGTTTACTCACAGACTCTCTTCAGGTCTACTCACAGACTCTCTTCAGGTCTATTCACAGACTCTCTTCAGGTCTATTCACAGACTCTCTTCAGGTGAGGAGGAAACTCTGCTAATTTCTTCCTCTTCAGTCCTGAGTCTGCCTGCATCTGATCTGAGGACGCCTTCACACCCTCAGAAATCCAGAGAGTAAAAACACGTCAGAGTCACGTGGAAACCGGCCTTACAGGTTGTAGTCAGCCTGCCAGACTCTCCCTCACCTCCCTGATTCAGACTATTAAGAGTTAGATAAAAACAGTCACAACTTGTTAGAGCGGGTTCTGACACGCCCTGCATTTTTCTCTGATGACGAGAACTCAGACAACAATCAGACTGCAAATCATTCTGCCTGAAACACTGACAACAGTACATGGAGATCTTTCTAAACCCATTCTGCTTTCACTCAGAGAGAGACCCTACACAATATTTCAGACAGATGTTTAGAATCAGCATCAAGAAACATGTGTCCTGTCCAGTGTTGGGCAAGTTAAATGTAATACAGTACATATTACTTATTACTGTCTCTTTTAAGTAATAAGTTACATTACAATATTACTGTCTCTGAAATGTAATGAGTCACACTACTTTTGTCACACTACCAGCTGCTCTTGCAGTAATAAGTAGCACCTTTCTTACTGTCCTAATGTGCACAATGTAGTGACTGCTTTTTCCTCTTTTGTTTTCTTAGTTGTGTTCTCTGTATTTTATGTCTGTGTTCTGTGTTCTGTGTAACGTTGCTGCCTTCTTGGCCAGGTCAGCATTGAAAATGAGATTTTATCTCAATGCTTTTATCTGGTTAAATAAAGGTTAAATAAAATAAAATAAATAAATGTTATATTACTTTTGAGTTGCTTTCACCAAAATAACCACAAAAGAATGGCAAGGTATTTTAAATGCTAAAATGTAGTTTAGTGCAGCTCATTATACATCCAGTGAAAGGCAATGTGGTATAGCACAATAACTGTGTAGGCCCTTAAGGCTACTAACAACTTTTATTACACGGCTAGTTGAATACTCGATTCTGATTGGTCAATTCAGAACACGTGACACGTTGTTAATACAGTAGTACAGACAGTTCAGAGTTTACTGAAGAGTTTAGTGTGTGTTTCAAGAGTTTACTGTGTGTGTGAAGAGTTTACTGTGTGTGTGAAGAGTTTAGTGTGTGTGTGAAGAGTTTAGTGTGTGTGTGTGAAGAGTGTGGCACAATCTGGTGGAACATTTGTGAATTACACTAAAATCCAAAACATTAATGTTTTTTATCTTGGCGAAATAATGGTTTAATGACCCCAATGTAATGATCATGTATGATTCTGCAGATGTTGTCTACACGTGTATCACAACGGCTTATTTTTAGAGTGATTTTGAAAACTCGGTTAGCGAAGTTTATTTTTGTCAATATGAGATGCACTGTTTTCATGTCCCATGTACTTATCTGTACATATGGCTTCACGCACTACTAACGGCGAGTAAAGCAAGCACTGCTGAATAAAGTATGATTTTATCTTTTACGAAACGTTTTTTTTCATAATGGAATGCAGTTGGAGGTCAACCAATCACAGAACTTGAGGCAAAGCGGAACAATAGCTGAGGATTCTGGGTAGTGTAGTGTCTTCGGCCATCCTAAACTCTGAACAAATATTTGTTTCTCCGAATCGAAGGGGAAAATTACAAAAGCATTGTACACAATTTAAACCAATCAATGTTGTGTAATTAACAAGGATACTCTGGTGTTTTTGAGTTGATGAGTAGTGCTGATATCACTGTAAAATCAATCGACAGTAAGGAGAATACTTACTTCCGGGTGTAAAATCCTCCGTTATCCAATGGGAATGGACGCTCACATTGCTCTCTGCGTCCGTAATACAATAAAGGGGACATGATCAAATAGGGATAATTATCTTTTAAATAACGTTAACTAAAGGGAACAATCTATTTGACACAGCTGAAGCTCTGGCCTTCCTTAAAAACTAACTCATTTAATAAAAATCACAGTTGTATTACACACAATGCACTGTTTTTTGAGAACAAACATTCGTAACTAATGCACCATAATACATTCTGACGAAAAATAAAAATGATTATGAATACAAATAAAATAAAAGAAGCCTCTGCGTGATGCAGACACGTAAATGTAGCAAAGTTCGTGACTCCACCACGCTCTGCGGTGTTAAGGAGTCGTGGTGGAGTCACGCATTCTGGTGAGACCAGGTTGGTCTAGGTCAGGGGTCGGCAACAAGCGGACCGCGGTCCGGATCCGGACCCAGACGCCGAACTATACGGACCCGGACCTATAATCAATACATTAATAGGGGATTTCAATTTTGACGGGGTGATTCTATTTTAACCGCTGCCGACAGGGGGCGAAAGAGACGAGTGAGCGATACAGGGAGAGAAACACAAAAGAAGAGACGAGAGAGCGGCAGAGAGAAGAGGAGAGGAAAGTGAGTGAAGAGAATAATTAGCGATACAGAGAGAGAAGCGGAGAGGAGAGTGAACAGGCGTGTTAGCGGCAGACAGGGAGAGACAAACAATGACACATGGCGCTCTCCAAGAAGAGGAAAGTGTAATTACATGCTTTTAACCCTGAGTGGACGGACTCATTCATGTTCATCCTGCCCACTGGGAGCACAGAACCAGTGTGTCTCATTTGTTCAGAGACCGTGGCGCTCATTAAAAGCAGAATACAAAAATCAAGTAACTGTATTCAGCTCGCGTTATATTCGAAAAACGAGTAATCTGATGACAGTTACTTTCGTAAACCTGAAGTGAATACATTTTGGAATACTTATTGGAATTATTGGTGGAAAAGTTTCCTCATAAAATGTAATATTCATTACCAGCAGAACTGTGTGCACACTGCACAGCGCTGCAGCATGTCTGTGAGGCCCCGCCCCCGCACGCAGATCAGAGAGAGATCTCTTTTAAAATATATAGAAACGGAGATGGTTCGATAAAATGTGCAAGATAACGTTTATGTAGCATTTCTTTATTGTCGAAATGATGACATTTCATAACGGGATCAAATCAAAGTGAATGGCCTGCTGCTGCTGAATGCATGGGGCAAGTGACTGGAAACAGTTTTAAAAGTTATTACGTTGTTTCAGATAATAAATAATAATGGTAATTCATTCTATTTAGGGGCGCCTTTCAAAGCACCCAAGGACACCTGACAATTCATAACATATTCTAAGGAAAGGTTTAAGAGAGTACAAATAATGCAGTCCGGGTGATGTTTTTGATGTGGGCTGCAGATGAGAGGGAGCTGTCCAGAATGACACCAAGATGTTGTGTTTGAGTTGTGCTCTTGATAAGCCATTAAAACAGTAAAATAAGTGTCTCCTGTTCACCAACACATACCCATCTGTTATGGAAAAAGAAAGTATTCCAAAAGTATTCGAAAAGTAATCTGAATGCGTTACTTTTTTAAGACACGTAACTTAACTGTATTCGGATTACTTTCAGAGCCATGTATTCAGTAACCGATTACATTTACAAAGTAACCCTCCCAACCCTGATTAAAAGTGCCAAAACGCCACTATGAGACAAAACACAAAGTGTTTGACCAAACATTCCCTCTCAAGTCAGAACTGAGGTCACAAAAAATAAGCAGTCTCAGAGCCCAATATGATCAGTCCACCAGGATCAAAATTAAAACTAAATATGGTTCCAGGGCAGGCTAACCGAGGCTAACCGAGGCTAACCAATGAGCACCTGCATGTGTGTATGAGAATGGCCCTGACACCATTTCAGCCCAGATTTAAACTCCTGGCAGGACAAGCTCCAGCTCAATTCTCGCACTGAATAAAACAAAGTGAGTGAGGGACTGCAATATAAGAGGGAAAGAAAGAGAAACTTTAAAACGGTTCAATTGTTATGATGTGTAAAGACTGATATGTTCTATAATCGTCTGAAACTGTTAAGTCATGATGTGAAACGGTTAACAAAGCTATTTTATTTATTTCTCTATTTTATTTTTAAATGCAGCCCGAGAGGAACATTACACATATCCACAGTATTTACTGTATATCTGTATAGTTCAATGTTAATTGACAATAAATATTGTTGTTTATGAATTGTACTTTCTTTATTTGATTGGCAGTCAGTTGTTGATTACATGCAGACGTTGATAAAGCTACAGGCTACTTCAATATATATCACACTAATTCATAAAGCAACTTAGACATTTTGATGTTCTGGACCTTTGCATGGGGAGATTTTCTCTAACTGGACCTCGTTGAATTTTAGTTGAATACCCCTGGTGTAAGACATTAAGACATTAAGACATTTTAACTGTCAGAAAACACCATGGAATACTTTGTGAATATGATATTTTAAAGTAAATAAACAGAGAAGAAGAACACTAGTGTTTAAAGGGAATGGGCTCTGGCTGTATTTAGAGACTGGTTGATGGGAAATACAATTTAAACAGACTTGGACAGTTACTGAAAACCTGGATCAGTGCTGCCGTCATTTTAAGTTACGTTGCTGCAGTTCAGACGCTGATACTAGAACAGAAGACGGACCCCTCCACTAACATATCTCATGCTATCACAAACATCCCATCAGAAAACTCAATGCTCAATCAAACAGTTTCAGATACAAAGTCCAGCTGACATGAGACTCCACTGGAGTGTCTCTGACTGCAGTATCAGTAAAGACATGAAGGCCCTAAACACACAGTGAATGTGGAGAGACCACAAAGAGGTTATATCATATATGTTATGTTTACTCTTCTATGCTGAACTTATTTGTAAAAAACACGTCAGTCACGTTGATCAGAGCTGTTGGACCGGATCAGACACTGCCTGCATTTTTCACTGCTGATGATATCTCAGATTACAATCAAACTGCTGCCAAAAGCTGTTGGCACCAATACAAGTTAAACGGTGATATAGAACAATTGATCGTGATGATCAAACTTCTACAGATTCCTCTGGTAGGATTCTCACCTGATGAACTGAGTTTTAGGAAACAAAAATACTTTGTCAGGTTAGGTTACTTCTTGTTTGGAATTATCCCCAGATATATATTCTCAAATAAAAAAGCACTTCAATCAGATTATCACCTGCTGAATTCCCTTCAGGTCAATTGAGACGGCTTCACATGAGGAGGAAACGCTTCCTCG